TTGTGCATAGGTTATAGAGGCTATATCTGCAAAGTTCTTCACAAATCGCAGATAATAGGAGCACAAACCCAAAAATACTCTAACCTGCGTCTTGTCTTTTGGAACCGGCCAATCCTTGACAGCGGCGATTTTCTCCGGATCTATGCGAATACCTTCTTCCGACACTACGTACCCCAAGAAGTTGACTTGCCGTTTGAATAGTTAACATTTCTTCGGACTCAACTTGAGTTTGGCACTCTGAATCTTCATGAGCGCACGTTCCAGGTTTTGAAGGTGTGCCTCAAACTTACGGCCTACGATGATGATGTCATCCAAGTAGACCAGACAGGCATCGCCGATTAGCCCGGTAAGAACAAGTTATATCAACCTTTCAAACGTTGCTGGAGCATTGCACAATCCAAACGGCATTACTGTAAATAGCCACAGACTTTTGTGAGACGCAGTTTTCTCCTTGTCCTTAGGGTCAATTTCAACTTGCCAGTAGCCACTTTTTAGATCGAGCATGTTAAACCACTTTACTCCTGTAAGTATGTCCAGCGTGTCATCAATTCTTGGCAAGGGATAGCTGTCCTTCTTTGTAACGTCATTCAGACGGCGGTAGTCAACACAGAACCGCATGCTGACGTCCTTCTTCTTTATCAGCACCACGGTTGAACACCATGGACTAGTTGAAGGTTCAATAACACCATCCTTCACCATTCCCTCAATCATGGTTTCCACTTCCTTTTCACGTGCTACCGGCAATCTCCTTGGCCGCTGACGGATAAGCAATTCTTCTCCTGTGTATATTTTGTGTTGAACTAAGCCAGTCTTTTCTAAATCAGCATTGTTTGATGAGAATAGCTAGCTAGCTATAGAGAACGCTGTGACAGTCTTCCAAAAGTGTGGTCAGTCTCGTTTGTGCATCCTTGCTGGGGGTCTCACTCGATAGATATTGTCACCGACGTAACCAATCCACTTCCTCACAAGTACCAACCAGTGTGCCTTTTTCTATAATCTGTTCCTGGTCACAAAGGTTCAGTACACGTACTCCTGAGATGTCAGTGGTTCTGACCAAGGTTCGAGCTACTTTCCGTGGAAGTTCATTGTTTACCCTTTCCACAAGTATACAACGGTGAGCTTGCCCAGGGTTCCGAGGAAGACTAACCGGCACAATCGTTTCCGATCTCGGCGGAAGAACAATCTTCTAAATGCTGTTCACGTTCCCTGGTAACGCACCTTCCATAAAAAGTTCCTCTTGTCCACATTACAAAACACGTTGTTTAACATCGATCTCACAACAATTATTTCTCATAAAGTTGAGGCCCAGGATGCAGTCGTCCATTATATCAGCCACGATGATATTATGCAGGTAGATCATGTTGCCAAGCTTCAACTCCATCTCGTTCTCTCCACGGACGGGTATACGCTGACCGGTGGCTGTTATCAAATTAATGATTTCTCGGTTGTATGCGGAGTCCCAAAGGAGCTGACTTATAAGTTGGGAACTAACAACCGTACGAGAGGCTCCAGTGTCTATAGTCAGTTTAACACGGCATTCCGTTGACCTCGGCCTTGATGATTAGACTATTCCCATAATGGGTTTGTGAGAACGAGATCCTTGGGGCACTTTTAACATCAGCCAGCACCAGCCAGGTTCCTCACAACAGCGGTGCTGTTAGCCGCACTACCCTCTCGAGATCGATCACATTCCCTTTCTACAGTTCGCTTAGGGCAGCTGGATCGAAGATGGCCCTTTCCCCACAGCCATAGCACCTAGGGCCGTATCCTTTATTGCGATCGCGAATTGTAGCTGCCGCAACCTCCCTGACGCGATGGGAGATAAGATCCTGCCGCACGGCTTCCACCTCCAGTGCATGGGTCAAGGCGTCCTTAAGCGTCTTGTGGTGCCCGAGCCTCACAGCAGCTTTGACTTCAAGGTCGCGGATGTCGTCGATGAATGTCTGCACCAGGTTTCCTTCAATGAGCGCAGGTACAGACCGGTATGCTTTTTGCACCAGCTTCTCCACCTCTAGAGCCTATTGCTGCAGGTTTTCGTTGATGCGCTGCACGCGATTTTTAAGATGCGCACGAAAGACGTGTTCCAGATGAGCGTCGCCATATCTCGCCTCCAATGCCTTAAAGAGCTGCTCGTAGGTCACTTTTTTACCGAAAGCTTCCAACATCGTTAAGGCTTGGTTGCGCAGGCCTAGCGTGAGTGCAGTCATGGCCTCCATGAGAGCCTCGAACTGGATTTTATAGGCTGACCAGGAAGAAGTCCCGTCAAACGGCGGCACTTTGAACCCACGTAGCGAAGGTAATGTAGCTACTACGGGAGCTGAAATTCCATCCCCCAGTTTGAGGTCGTACAAGCGTTTTCTTCACGTCAGCCATCAGGTTGTCAACCCGATTGTTCACTTGGTCGATTCGGGTTTCAGCTTCCGACAGGCGATTGTCATGTTGAGCAACCTTATCCTTCACCTCCCTTATCTCTTTCCCGAAGGTAGCGTGAATGTCCTTCATGAGGAGCATCTGCTCTTCCTTATCGCATTTGAGCTGCTCTTCCAAACGACGGGCCTGTTCCTCCTGTCGGTGGGCCTGTACCTCCTGTCAGCGGGCCTGTTCCTCCTGTCCGCCCCGCAGCTGCTCTTCCAATTGGCATGCCTGTTCCGCCTGCTGGCGGGCCTGTTCCTCCTGCTGCTCTTTCAACCAACGGGCCTGTTCCTCCTGTCGGCGGGCCTGTTCCTCCTGTCGGCGAGCCTGTTCCTCCTGTTGGCGAGCCTGTTCCTCTTGTCGGCAAGCTTGTTCCTGCAGCAGCATTATGAGAGCACCTAAGTCAGGTGGTGCAGGTGTAAGAGCTGCTGACGGGCCAGCCTCCGTGGCTGGCAGTTGGCCCCCCGACGTCTGCGGCGTTGCACCACCAACTCGTTTCTGGTCCGTTTCCTGCTGGCGTTGACTTCGGGTACGGACACCCTCCGTGTCGTCCTTCGGTAAAATCGGCATGATTTTATACCACTTCTGACACCAATTGTTACGAGTTTAGGGTTCGTGACAATAAAAAGTGCCGATTAAATTACTAAAATTAACACTTTAATTACCGAACACCAATTAAGACTTAAAAAACACTAATAATTAATCACACTAATCACTTTTAGTTCACTTTATTTTGTTCCGAAGCTTCGCTTGTGTCACCAATTCAATACTGACCGGATCGCGGCTTGCAGCGGCTTTAAATACACCTTTTTCAACGAAACATACAGAATATTCCAGCAAATACCGGCCTCCGATCGACCAGGTACAGAAACTTCGAGTGTGGAGCTTAGTTCTTCAATTCGATACTAGATGGCGCTTTTGGTTGAAAGATTAGTCATGGCATTTTCTGGAAAGCTCTCCACGCTCTGTTACCCGACACTAAATGGCGCTAGTGCCAGATACCAGACATCAACTTAGGCGCGCGACAATATTAATATATGAAAATATCACATTAATTTCAAAGTTAGATCACTAATCTGTTTACATATTTTTTTCTAATCATATATGGTTCCAGAAGTATCTAAATTTGAGATATTTTACAGTTACTATTGTAATCCACGCGATCACTATAGGGTTAAGTGTTTAATTAAAAATGATGTTATATTGATGTGTGATGTGACTGTGATGTGCGGATCGATATCGTTATTTTTTCATTATTATTCATCGAAGAAGCATTAACATTTATCATCTAACGCTCAACTAAAGAAAATTACATAAAACATAAACACTCACGCCTGTCACCCAGAGGGGTAGGCAGAGACTACAGACTTCCATTTGGCACGATCCTGACACACCTCTCTCGCCTCCTTCACATCCATACACCTACGCATACATGCTCGTCGGTTAAGGGTACCTACTTCTAATTTGGCCCGTTTTCAATAAATCGCCAATTTGGTCGATAAATTTTCGCCTAGGACGTCCCTTTCCGACTCTTCCATTCACTTCTGCAACATAAATTTTCTTTGCCACTCTTTCCTCATTCATTCTTTCCACATGACCAAACCACCGAAGCATTCCTTTCTTAATCATGGTCACAACATCATCTTGCAAACCACACTCTTCTCGTATTACACAATTTCTCACAATTCCACACCCAACTTTCACTAACATACGTTTAAAGTAGGGACCAACATAGCATTGTGAATTGCCATACGTGCCTTTTTCGACACATTTTGACTCTTCACAATAGAGTGTAGGGCTCCATTTACTCTATTTCCTGCATTCACTCGTCGTTCTATATCCTTATCACATCTCCCATCCCTGCTAAATACGCAACCCAGATATACAAACTCATCTACTTGCTCGATCAACTCCCCTTCTATTCTTATTTCACACATCGTCTTACTCTCTTCTCTTTCAAAAACGATAACTTTCGTCTTACTTGCGTTCACTTTCATACCCCTTTCACCCTTTTTAGAAGATTACCTCATCATTATCATCATCATTACAGCCCTTCACAAGTCCACTGCTGAACATAGGCCTCCCCCAAGTAATGTCACAAAGCACGGTCCTGAGCCACCTGCATCCATCGACTTCCTGCATGTCTTACCAGGTCATCACTCCATCTAGAGGGGGGTCGCCCTACACTGCGCCTACCGGTACGAGGCTTCCACTCGAGAACCTTTCTTCCCATCGGTTATCGGTTCTTCGAGCTATATGGCCGGCCCATTGGCACTTCAGCTTACTAATCCGTTGGGCTAAGTCGGTCACTCTGGTTTTACTGCGGATATCCTCATTTCTGAGTCTATCACGCAGAGAAATACATAGCCGAGCATAGTCCGAGCATAGCCCTCTCCATAGCTTGCTGAGCGACCTTGAGCGTCCTCATACGGCCAGTAGTACACGCACTGGTTATACACTTTAGTTTTCAGAGATTGAGGTATACCTAACGAGAATTTCCTGAAACGCAATTTCCCGAACGCTGCCCAGCCGAGTTGAATCCGTCGATTGACCTCTCGGTCGAAGTTGGACTTACCTAGTCGGACTATTTATCCCAGGTAAACGTACTCGTCAACAACTTCGAGCATAGTGTTCCCAACAACTACCGGCATAGGTGTGACATGGACATTAAACATGATCTTTGTTTTGTCCAGGTCATTGAGCATAGTGCTAAGGTCCTCCAGTGATTCTGCCATAAGGACTATATCGTCGGCAAATCGAAGGTGAGTGATGTACTCGCCATTGATGTTAATACCATATCCTTTCCAGTCCAGTAGCTTGAAAACATTTTCCAACACAGCGGTGAAGAGTTTCGGGGATATAACATCACCCTGTCTTACACCTCTCTGCAGTTGGATAGGTTTCAAACTCTGGTTCTGTACTCGGATAGCCATCGTAGCCCTACTGAACAAACACTTCAGTACTTCTATATACTGACAGTCAACTTGGCACCGCTGAAGGGACTGTAGCACCGCCCAAATTTCGACGGAATCAAAGGCTTTCTCATAGTCCACATATGCCAGGCAAAGTGGCAGATTGTACTCTTCGGTCTTCTGTACAATCTGCCGCAGGGTATGTATGTGGTATATGGTACTGAAGCCTTTTCGGAAACCGGCTTGTTTGGGAGGCTGGAAGTCGTCGAGTCTGCGTGCGAGACGATTCGTAATGACTCTCGAAAACAGCACGTAGACGCGGCTCAGAAGGGAAATCGGTCTGTAGTTCTTCAAGAGAGCGTTGTCGCCTTTCTTAAAGAACAAGACCACCGCGCTTCTGCTCCACGCCTCCGGAGTAGTGCCACCATGGAGGACGGAATTGAAGAGCTTCTGAAGGACTTCAAGTACCGGTGTTCCACCCGCTTTCAGAAGCTCCGCTGTAATTCCATCCTCGCCCGGGGCCTTGCCGTTTTTAAGGTGGTGGAGAGCCATTCTAATCTCGCTCAGACTGACGTCCGGGATATAATCGGAATAGTGTCGGATAAGACTTGCTCTTGGATCGTTACTCACACTTGCGTGTGGCTCCAACGATGATGTGTACAGCTGCCCATAGAACCTCTCAATCTCACTCAGAATCTCAGGTGTCCCGGAAACGATGTTGCCACACTCAGTCTTCAGCTTTGACAGTTGGCTCTTTCTGGCAGACAGATCTCTGGCAAAGACTATGGAGCCCTGGTTCCGCTTGATCGCTTCTTTAATACGAGCAGTGTTAAAGTTCCGTAAGTCTCGTCGCATGCATTTGGAGATCTGTCTGTTCAGTTGCCTGTATGCTGTCAAATCTGTTGATGATTGCAGCCTCATCTCCCGTCTAACAGCCATGAGATTAAGAGTGTGATCGGAGAGTTTTTGTGTTCTTCTGCGGCGGGTCTTGCAGAACTTATCTCCGACCGCTTGGACAGTTTCCACGAGCTTGCCATTCATATCGTCCACTGCATTGCAATCTTTTAGGCACTGAAAGCGGTTACGTAACTCGAGCTGAAAGGTTTCGGGATTTTGGATTAGAGCACGAGGGGGACGGAGCGTTGACTTCATTAGACGAGACCTCTCCAACTTAACTTTTAGGTTCAGTGTGCCTTTAGCCATTTGGTGATCGCTGCCAGTTTTCACCCTTGCGATCACTGAGACATCACTGAACAGTTGGCGTCTGGTCGTCATAATGAAGTCAACCTCATTTTTTGTCTTTGTCGTTGTCGAACCGTCGGGGCTCGACCAGGTCCACTTCCTGTGGGGCCGCTTCTGGACAAAATTACCTATTATTATAAAAAACTGTGAATGAACAATTTTAGTCCTTGGATTAAATAAATACAACAAAAAAATTTTTACTATAGATACGTCTATACTAATACTTCCTTCACTCATCATATTAAAAATATATTTACTTATTTTACTTGATATCTAAATGATGCCCGCGACTTCGTCCACGTGGATTAAGGAAAATTAAAAAGTTCCTGTTAACTTTTTAATTTTCCGGGACAAATGTGCCTTGTGTTAATTCAGAGTATCCAAATCTGTTCAGTCGTTGTGGCGTGAAGGAGTAACAAACATCTTGAATCTGTTTGAATACTATTAGGCATATTTATACACTGGATTAAGCTTTAGAATAAGCTTTATTCCGAAAAACTATAAGTACAGAAACAATTTCGCATTTATACTTTATAACTAATGTATTCTCATAACCTAAGATTTCGAAAAGACCCTCTCTTAAAAATGAGGTGGGCACAATTGTGCAATCGAAAAAGGGGTTGGGTACCTATTCGCACAAGTACTATCTATTCGATGCACTTTGATACATCCCAATTTCAATGTTTGCCTAGTAAAACGTCGTAAATTAGTCTGTAATGCTTTACCAACATTACTATTAAGAGATCTTTAAGTGATAGAGCTACGCTGCAGCTATTAGGGTTGTAGCATAAATGGGTCGGCTCGACCGGGGAAGGACCACACTCTCCCCTGAGGTTAAGCTGCTATTTTACGATGGTATTCTCTAATACCATCGTAAAATAGCAGCTTAATACTGCGGTGTTTCGTATGGTGTGTGTAGAGAACCGGACACCCGTTTTACTGGAATTGAGGCATTCCATCTTAGTCCTCAAGGGTGACAACGCAATTGCATATTTATTCTTAATCCAGGATAAATTTAGATGTCTATGGGCTAAGCATTCACTTACTATCAGGTGGGCTGCGTGCTCGTTTATCACCCTTATCCTATAAAAAAAGTAATATTCATGTTACGTACTTGAAAGTTTGGGATTGCTTTTTGAGGCAACCCATGGGATTTTATAGATCTGGAGTTGGTGCATAAATTTCTCAACAGCATATTATTTTCCTTTCCAGGAGGTCGAGTCTGTAGAGAGCTATAAATCTCAGGAACCAGGTCCTTCTAGTTCTACTCCATCATTAATCACGCACGCAAGCAATAACTGTCTCTTTTAAAGTTCTCCTTCTTCAATTCCTATCTTTTCTAGGACCCGTTTGTTTCATTTATTTATCAAAGATGTATCATAAGATGTACTGTATTCGCTGACAGAGCAGCGAATCTTGTACTTCTTGCAAACTTGTAACCTTTTTCTTTGAATACCGTTTTAAAATAGATGATGTTGTGACTAAGATCAGCATAAAATAAATATTTTGTTATTTTTATTTATAATTTTATTCCTTTAAATATTTGTTGTACTAATTAATAAGTTGAGATACCTACTTTATTTTTGTTTTACACAAGCATTTTATAGGAATAATATAAATGTCAATTTTAAAACTAAAGTTTTTTGTGATGATGGCTTGTTATTTAAAACATAAGTTCCTCCACTTTTTGTTTTTGGTACTTAGAGCCTTTTTATTTCCGGAATTTATGTTTAACCATGCCATATTACAGCTCAGCTCTTTAGAATACCAATAGTCTCTGTACTACTGTACTGTACTGTATCTGTGTAATTTTACGTGGTAGAGCCATGCTGCAGTTATATTAGTAGTATAGTTGTAGCACGAATGGGTCGGCTCGACCGGGGAAGGACCACGCTCTCACAGAATACCAGCGTGAAATAGTAGCTTAATGCTGCTGTATTTCGTATGGTGAGTGTAGAGAACCGGAGACCCCTTTTTACTGGAAACGAGGCATTCCATCTCGGTCCTCACGGGTGACAACGCATCTGCATTTTGATTATTAATGGAGGATAGATGTAGATGTCTATGGGCCGCAGCAACCACTTACCATCAGGTGGACTGTGTGCTCGTTTGTCACCCTATTCTATAAAAAAAAAAAAAAAAAAAACTAAGCCGCAGAGAAACCGACAGACTGTTGAACTTGGTGAAACTATAAGTGTTCCTTTTTGTGTTACTACGGGACGCTTGTTCGAGTGCATTTTGCTAATGCTTGTGAGTTTTTCTCTTTTTCTTAGAAAAACTATCGATATAAAATATCGATATGGTAGCATCGCAATTAATTTGTCCGTCTAACTCATAACTTTTTCTATGTTGATGTATTTAACCTACCTACATGTGTGCGTAAAATGTAATAGTGTTGAAGATTTAGATTTGTGTGTGCCATAATGACACAAAATTTTATTGAGTAGGTGTGCAGTACTGTCAATTTATTATTTTGTAGCATTAGGTGCATTACCCGTCCATTGGGTTGAATGGTCTAAAGCGTATACCTATCGATGATAATCGGTGATAGCAGTGTCCCTTTTTAGGATTTCTTTACGTACTAATTTCTAATTTGAATACAAGTTGTCCCAGCGATGGTTTGGTCGCTCCTGTAAAATAGCATCATGCTATAAGCAGGAGTACTACCGGGCCTGGTCTGACGCATCAACATCTCGGGATGTAAGCACCAGTGCTGTTAAAAAGAATTTTGTACTACCGGTCAGTGCAGTCGCCTCATAATGATGTGACGGCTCTAATGCCGAACCTACAATATATTCGTAGCGTAAGCATAGGTACCAAATGCGTGAAAATAATTTGAAATGGCGTGTCAACCTAAGCGCTGCGATACCGTCGTAGTTAACGAGTTCCTAGCCTTTGTTCAACAAAAATTGGACGTCATGGACCAGGTGTACCTGGAGCAGATACTGATTACCAGCTTCACCGAGGACGAGATCATCCAAGCGAAGAAGGTGTTAGCAGATTCATCCGTGACCCAGATCCGTCTTATCACACTTCATAGATATGGAGGCGGTAAGAAAGACCTGCAAGACATTTTCAGGCTGTTCAATGACACCGATCCTGATGACATTCCAACTTTCGTTGCGCGTGATCTCAATAAGCTGCCTCTCGTGACGTTCGATCAAGTAGACGTGACCAGATTGTTGAAAGCCGATGTTACCGACCTTTGTTTCAAATTTGTAGAATCGGAACGAGCTGCAACAGAGCTGAAGAACGAAGTCACTACGTTGCGCAACATAATTGCAACATCTGCGAATTCGCCACCGTCACGGAATGTAAATTATACGACGCGCGGTAATCGTAATAGTAGTCATATTTCACCGATAATTGCGACTACGTCACGCGAAACCGTCTGTCAGCGGGTTGATGACCGTGAAACAAGGGCGACCTCGGTCGTCATTGCAATACCACTTTAGCCCTTAACTGAACCCTTGAATATTCCTCCGCCGAAGCCAACTTGTCAACAAGGGGAGACGTATGCTGATGTTGCTCGAAAATCTTCACAACCGGTACCCTCTTGTGGTCGAAAACAAAAGAATGTGGATGTAAAATCAGTTCCTGTGGTGACCCGAAACAAGAGAGATAATAATGCCGAGTTTACTCTTGTTGAGAAGAGACGTCGATCGAGACCCGTCTGTAACCAGCGTGGAACCACCAAAATAAACGTAAGTACAATTCTGCGTATTGTGGAGCCTACCATACAGCTCTACATCGCCCGTTTAGACAAATAAACGTCGGGAGAAGACGTCTTGCGTTTCGTGGAACAACGAAGCCGATGCCGCATAGAGGATCCGATCTCTTTACATTTGCAGCGTCTGGAGTCTAACAGGTCCACGAACTTCAAATCCTACGTACTCCAGGTTCCTGAAAAATACAAAGAAACATTCCTTGCTCCCGATTTCTGGCCCTCTGGGGTGGTGTTTCGTAGATACAAGGATGCGGCAAAGAAGAAAGTTGCCTAAATAGTGTTATATTTATATTTTATTTATATTTTTAGGTTAAAGTATATGTATGTTCTTAATTTTAAGTCCTTGGTGCCTGAAATAAAGTTATTGTATTGTATAATCCCGCCTCCAGGTCCTTCAAAAGAGCATCATCAAGGCTATCTTCATCACCAAGGCAAGGTCTGAGCACATCGGCAGAATTGGCGAAAAACTAGTTCACCTTTCTTCGGAAACCCGTAGATTCAATTGATGTAGTATCTCGCCAAGGCTTCCCAAGGGAACTTATATCAGTCATCTTTTCCATCTCTGCACAGAGAGGTTCTCTATTTCCTTCCAACTCGACTCTCAATGGGGGGACATACCGCCGAATATCCCGCAGTGTGAGTGCTCCATACCGAATGTGCGGTTCACACAGTGCTCGGTTCGCAACGCACTCCTCTCCCTGGACGTCAGCAAGTCGAGTGGGCTTGATGGAGTCCCTCCCATTGTACTGAAGACGTGTGCTCCGAAGTTGGCACCGGTTTTAACGCGTCTTTTCCGGCACTCTTTTTCCCAAGACGTAGTCCCAAATTCATGGAAGATAGCTTTGGTCCACCCAATCCGTAAAATTGAGTTATAGTACAAATGGGCGTACCTCAGGGCTCAATCCACCATCTGAATATGTCGTCTTCAAGTCGTCATGTATGGGTAATCATAATGAAATGGAATATTAAAATTAAAACAATTCTTTAAAACTAATTCTTGGCCCTTTCTGTTTCTTGTATATATTAATGGCTTACCTTACGTAGTAGGGAATAACCATGATGTAGTATTATTTGCTGACGACACTTCATTAATTTTCAAATTAAAACGATGGTTAATAAATGATGACCAAGTAAATAATGCTATAGCTAACTTAGTCAACTGGTTTAATGTTAATAATTTGCATTTAAATAGAACTAAATCTAAATGTTTGAAATTCGTAACTCCGAATGTCAAACATGTTAAAACTAATGTAATTTTGAATGGGGAGGAGCAGAGTCTTGTTGATACCACCATTTTTCTTGGATTCGCACTGGACGCAAAGCTTCAATGGGCCCCCATATATCAAAACTAGCTAGCAGACTTAGTTTTGCAGCATATGCTGTAAAAAAAATAAGAACTCTTACCAGTATTGAAACAGCTAGACTAGTTTACTTTAGCTATTTCCAAAGCATAATGTCGTATGGTATTTTGCTATGGGGACACGCGAATGACACAGAAATTATATTTGTTTTACAGAAGAGGCCATTAGAGCAATATATGATTTAAAACCTAGAGAGTCGCTCAGACAAAAATTTAAGGAAATTAATATATTAACTCTGGCCTCGTAATACATTCATGAAAATGCAATGTACGTACACAAAAATAAAAGTAGTTTTGCAAAAATAAGTGATATTCATTCTGTAAATACTAGGAACAGACAGAAGCTAGTAGTACCAGTTACTCGAATCCACCGAGTCAGTAATTCATTCTTGGGGCGCTGTATACGCTTTTACAACAAAATCCCAAAAACTATACAAAATTTGACATACACAAAGTTCAAAAACTTTATTAAACTAAGTTTGTATAAAAAGGGTTACTATAATATTAAGGAATTTACAGATAACAATAACCCCCGGGAAGGATGATCGTTACCAAGCTATTTCTAATTTGTTTTGTGTTATTAATTGTAACCTACATGATTGTAAGCTCTTATTTAAAAAAAAATTGTCCCGCTGGGTTTCTGCTGCTTCTTCCCAGGACAGAAGTTTTTTGCGAACCAGTGGTAATGAAAAAAAAATAACTTTCAATAAGTGTCATTTGTAATCCATATTGAATAAAAAGGTTTCTGTTTCTGTGGCTATAACGTACCCGAGTTTTCTTAATTGTCAGAAAAGTGTATTGCATCAATTTCACATCTACATACTTGTATGATATGATTAAACTGCACAATTTCCATAATAAATATGCTAAATACCAAAAACTTGACGCTCAATCAAATTCTTCCACCCCTGTAACTGTTCCCTCTAGCTCTTCATTAAGAATTGATGATTATGGAGGCATTTTGGATGAGATTTTTTTTTTTGGAAAATGACAAATAAATTGTGGGTGTGGAAGGAAAATATTGAGGTCACCACTGTGGTCGTGGATGGAAGGAAAAGGGGAGAACTCCCACCGGGCAGGGTGTTCAACTGCGGGAGTGCCCAAAGCTATGTGTATTCTTTCAAAGCTGTTCGCGGTAGCTTCGAGCTTTGATAGCGCGATATAGGCTTCGGTGCGTTTTCGCTTTTAGCCCGATGACAGCACCGCCACGAAATTATGTTCTTCTACTTCATTGATCACTTTATATATAATTAAAATATTTCATTTGAATTTGTGAAATATTAATATTAATAAACAGACAAAATATTTTTTTTAATTTGACCTTTTCTTCCACATTTACAAAAAACTTCATTATTTTATTCGTTAATTCCTATTACGTTTACAAATAGCCTTTACTTATATAAGCTACATACCTGAAATTAGAGTAGGCGATTTTAGACTATTTTACAGAAAAAGGCGAATTTAGGCTACTTGGCATCAAAGATATTTTATTTTATGTTCTATACGAAGTATATTATAATATCTTTATTTGGCGTCAAATTTTTGGCGACTTGGACCGGTCTAGACCAGTGTTGCCAACTTGACAGATTTCCCGTTATATTTGACGGTTCAGCGATGTTGGCAACGGGAAAAAATAGTTTTTAACGCGTAGACAGAGAAACCTATAGAGAGGTTATATAATAATCTTTATGACTTTTAAACACATTTAGATAAAAATTTTAATTGTTCTAAGAACTGAACTGAACAAGATTCACCAATCTTAAGCTCACAAAACACTTTTTTTCTCACTTAAACCAACTTGTAAACTCCTTAAATCGCTACGCTGTCAAAGTTGTTTAGCAAACTACAGAGTTTGCTAAACCAAAAAGCGGCACGGAGAAAGGGACAAACAATCACACCGCTCTATCTCATTTCTATGCAAAACGTATGCATAAATCTATCTTTTTCGTGTGCGAATGCGAAAGAAGGCGTCAATTTGTCTATAGGTTTCTCTGTCTACGTTTTAACGGTTAACAGATTTTTTAACGGGGCTACTACTAATATTTTAGCTAGATTTTAATATTGGCAACACTGATCTAGACTTGGCAACACTGTCAGCTGTCACAACTAATAAGAATAAGAACATGGCAAGGAGGTTAGAGAACAATAAGATAGGAAGTATTTTTTATTTATTAATTCTTTATTTGGTGTGGTGTATGTAATTCCTGTATAAGGCAGTTACTATAATTATATCATTGACTTATAAAAATCCTGTTATATAAGTGTATGAATTATACCAAGCAAAATTTTTTTATGGATTTTAAATATAACTGGTTTGAGTGGCTAAAAGTAAATCTCGAGTAGTTTTTATAGTAATGTTATTTTCCCTTCTTTACTAATTTTATGGACAAGTTACTTTAGACCATCAACAAAAGGTGTACAATGGAAACGTAAGTGTATTTCTTAAACGATTTCTTTTAATTTAATAAAATAGCATAATTTTGTAAAAATCTAATAAATCTCATGTTTTAGAATAAATGCCCATGCGGCTTTTCTTTGCAATTATGAAGTTATGCAAATTCTACAGCAATTAAAGGATACTACTCAGAAAAAACATAAAAGAGAGGGGTCATTAGCTACTGTTACATATGAGGTAAGAGTAGAAGATAGTTTTATGAATTTTATGATAAAATTAAATGCATCTCTCCGCTTCCAGAAAGCTAGTAGTAGTTAAATTTTTACACAGGTAACTATATATATATATATAATTGAAAAGTAGTAACATTTTTTAATCTCTTTCAATTGCAAAGGAGATTTTGATTGTAAGAGTTTGAATGAAATGAAATGAGAATTGCAAGAGAGATTTAGATTCAATCATTGATACACATATAGGTATTGATACATATACAGGTTTTTACTTTAAAATTAGTGGATGAATATTTAGTAAGTATCAAAATTTTTGAAAAACATTTCCACTAAAGATATGGTTCTTTTGACATTGCCACGGACTTTGAATGCAATAACAACCATTATTAATATCTCTATACAGACAAGGATTTTCCCTGACATCTGAAAGACAGCTGTAATAAATCTAATATCAAACAATAATCACCTGTAGAACTAAATCATCTTCAACCTATAAGTTTACTGCCTTTTTTATCTAAAACTGTTGATAAGGCTGTTATATGCAATTAATAGAATATCTAAACCTGAACAATATTTTAACTCTAAAAAAATTGTGTTTTAGAGCTGGACCAAGCATATTTACAGCGCTAATGAGTATTGTTGATGATATTCTAACAGCGCAGGATAAAGAAGAGGCTACAATTTTACACTGCTTAACTTTTCACGTGTGTTTGATATGGAAGTGGGTGTTGAATCAATAAACTGTTTTTTTCAACGGCTTTTCATTTGTCAATGTGTTAACTGTTATTCATTAATGAAAAAATAGGTTGAAAATATTAGCTTTTAATCTATGTCAATACACTCAACATATTTTTTCAATATTATTTTATTCATTACTGTGGATTTAGTCTCTTTCGTAAATATTCGTTACTTCACTGCCGTGCTAATACATCGAACGCGATCTTGTGCGTGCGTGTGTGACTACAAACTAATTGGTCTATAATTGTCAATGACTTCCCTAGGCCCTTTTTTATGCAGGAGAATTATGTGGGACTCTCCCCACTGATTTAGAATGACGCCCGACTTGAGTATGTCGTTAAATATCCTGGTGAGAATTGGAGCCAGTTCCTCTGCCATGCCCCTCATGAGCTTGTTTGGTATGTTGTCCGATCCTGGAGCTCTCTCTAGTTTTTAGAGTGTATGGCTCTCTTGACCTCTGCTATAAGTATGGGCGGTACGTCATCATATCTATTTGTTGGCAACTTATTGGTTTCTAATTCATGGTCTTCATCTATATTTGAGTAGAGAGCTTTATAATATTCCGTAGCTAATTTCTGAATTTCTTTACGTTTTGTTACATGACTGGATTTGTTGCTTTTAAGTCTAGGAATCCATTCCTTTCTATGGTCCTTTAACTCCTTAAAAGCTTTTTCCGTTCCACCTGTTCTTTTAATAATAATGCGAGCATGTGTGAGCGTGAAGAAATAAAGAAAGTTAATTTGTTATTTGTTAACATTTTGTATTTAGTATGTGTAAAGAATCCATGAGTTTCATTCAAGGCCAAAATTCATTTCGATTCTTTTGTTTGCATTAAGCGGTTGTGGACAATTGTTTTTAAGTTAAGTTTATTTTTTAAGTTTAAGTTTTATTAATTGCGATTTAACATGAATATTTTTTGTGACAAAGCTTGGACATTATGTCAGTGGCACGTAGAGCATAAGTTTACTGTGCCAAAGACAAATAGACAGTATAAAATGAATTGTGCCTCACATAAAAAAGTTTGTGGAGAAAGACTAATACGCTAGCTGACAAAGACTTGCCGATGATCACTTTGGAAGATTGGACCACCTACCAACGGTTATGGTGTTGGAACCATTCAAAGAGTGGCCATAAATATTTGACATTATCTTATAATAATGACACGTTCCCTGATAGAATCTTATAATAAATTATGAGAGAAAGGAAGTCGAACATCAAATATCCACGATATAGGTTTATTATTTAAATCAGATTTATCAGACAGATTCAAAGGTATAGAGCAAAGTGGCATATTTAGTTTGTGTACTTTCTTGGACCCTTGATTTAAGATGCAGTCAGCAGAAGCCATGGCTTCTATATTAGAAAGCTAAGTCTGAAACAAAAAATGTATCAGGTATCGACACTCAACAGGGTGGCGCAAATTCTGTGGTAGCATAGAAACCTGTGAACAAGCAAATCGGATAAGGAAATTCCTAGCTAAACAGAACACGCCGGGATCTATCTCTTTAAAGAAACCCGGCGGAAGCTACTCAACATCGTCGGATGAAACCCAACGTATCCTAATTGATACTCACTTCCCAGGTTGCTGTGTAGTTGAAAGGGTGAACCGGCATGAAGATGCACTGACACCAACAAAAAAGGCTGGGAATTAGCACAAAGAGTGGTGACGATGGACAAAATCCATTGGGCCATTCATAGTTTCCAACCCTATAAGGCAGCAGGACCTGACGGCTTATTCCCGGCACTTCTACAGTGGGGGGGTAAAGTCCTAATAGTCAGACTTGTTGCCATAATGAGAGCATGGCTGGCTCTTAAATATGTTCCTAGGGGTTGGAGGGAAGTGAAAGTCATGTTCATACCCAAGCCAGGTAAGAACGACAATACAGACCCTAAATCCTACAGACCCATTAGCCTCACATCCTTTCTCCTAAAGACGATAGAGAGGATGTGTGAACGGGAGTTGAGAGAGTCGGCGCTAATTAACTTACCGCTACACGAAAAACAACACACCTATAGCTTAGGTAAATCAACAGAATCGGCACTTCACCATGTAATAATTTGATTGAAGGGGCCATCCAAAACAAAGTAATATGTCTAGGCTCCTTCATAGACATAGAAGCTGCTTTTGACAGAACAAATTTCTCCAGCATAAAAGGTGCCCTAAGTAGACATAATGTTGAACCGGCACTGATTGACTGGGTAGTAAACATGCTCAGTACATGAACAATAAAGATTGCTGGTGAATCTCAGACAATTCAGATTATGAAAGGATGCCCGCAGGGTGGGGTTCTTTCACCTCTCCTGTGGAATATGGTCATTAATGAACTCATCAGCAAATTAAACGCTAACCATTTTTACACAGTTGGTTATGCAGATGATCTGACAATACTGGTCTCTGGTAAGACAACAAGTATTGTGTGCGACCTGACCCAAGCGGCTCTTCGTATTGTGGAGAGATGGTACAGGGAATATGACCTAACCGTTAATCCAAAAAAATGGTTATAGTAATGTTCACACAAAAAAGAATGGTGAATAACTATCATCTTCCAAGTCTTTTCAGCACAAAACTCCAGCTTTCCTCCGAGGTAAAATACCTAGGTCTTACCTTGGACAGTAAACTTAACTGGAACAAACACATAGAAAACAAAATCAGCAAAGCTAATTTAACTTTCTGGCAATGCAAAAACATGATTGGCAAATGATGGGGTTTAACACCAAAAATTATACTGTGGCTGTACAAAACTGTAATTCGGCCCATGATCACATATGGCTCTCTGGTATGGTGGACCAAAACCAATGAAGCCACCACTATACAAAAGCTTCAGCGTTACCAGAGATTGGCTTGTATTGCTGCCACGGGCTGCATAAGGACTACACCAACAGCAGCTTTGGAGGCTATGCTGGAGCTAACACCGCTTCATCTATATATACAACAAGAAGCAACTTTAGCTGCCATTAGACTCAAGACCCTAAATCTTTTAAGTAAGAGTAGAGTCCCCCATACAGATATAATTGATAGAATTTACTCAAAAATTTCTATCTTACAAGCCAAGTATGATTGAAGGATACTGACCATCTGGAAGGATTGGGTCCAAGAGAGCTCAAAATTTTCACTAATGGCTCTAAGTCAAATGAAGGTGTGGGGTCTAGGGCTTTCTCTGAAGACCTTAATATCCACATATGCACACCGCTGGGTACCCACAACACAGTCTTCCAGTTGAATGCATGGGTATCATTCAAGCGGCCATAGCAATCGATGCTAGGAAGGTGAAAGACTTCTCTATCAGAATACTGACCGACAGTATGGCGGTACTACAAGCTCTGAGTTGCAATGTGACGAACTCAATACTGATATACGAGTGCCATCAACAATTGAATGCGGTATGTAAGCACAACAATGTGACTCTGCAATGGATCAAGGGACACAGTGGATCTAGAGGCAACGATGCAGCAGATGAACTGGCCAGAAAGGGATCGGCCCTGGCAACTATAGGGCCGGAACCAATAATACCAATCCCCTTTGGCTATGTTCGTTCACTGGTACGTAGATACTTCAATAATTTACACGCTCAGCTTTGGAAAAATTTAGTAGACTGTAGACAAGCTAAAGAGGCCCTACCTGAAATAAACAGTCGTCTAACCAAGGTATTAATGAGACTGAACAAGCCACAGATCAGGATAGTAACAAGTGCTATCACACGACATGGCTCTTTTAACAAACATTTGTTCACCATAGGTGTTACTGATAGCCCCTGGTGCAGGACATGCATGGGAGAGGAAGAAATGGCGGCTCACGTGTTGCTGACATGTCCAGAAGTCACTTCATACAGGGCTAAACATCTCGGCACGCCGGGATCGCTCCCCGAAATTGCTTGCAACATCAAGGGATTGCTGAGCTTCTTCGGGGAGATATCATGGCTCGAATAACCATATTATTCCTGCCTACATGCAAAATACCCGCTTAGACGTGGAGTTGCGGAAAACAGCCCATCGTAAACTAAACTAAGATGCAGGGATTTGCAGACCACGCTGAAGCTGTCAAAACAAAAAGTAGAGTACGAACGCTCGTCGCCACCGAAATATTCAAAATTGATGCTGCAACACTGGCCCAAACTTCAAATCAAAATTAATTGACAAGAATTATAATGAATTCAGTCCACAAGATATTTTTGATCTAATAATAAGGGCACCTCCCACCACAAGCACTCCATCAAAAGCTATAAAAGAAGCGGACATCTATTTGGCCGACGACTTATTACCGAGAACAAATACTAATGGTGACTGGAAGAATTCTTTGGAATGATTGAATACTCACAATTTTTTATCCAAACTTACCCACATACATATAAAAATGTAATACGACTAGCAACATCAGTGCCATGCAAAAGAACATTCTCCAAATCGGGGCTAATTGTAAATCAAAGAAGAACAAGACTAACTAAAGCAAAATAGAAAACTGCTGTTTTGAAATGTAAACTTAGATGGAGGCCGTTTAGCAAGTTATGAGATTTGATATGTAATTGAAATAGAACAAAGGATAAAAAAACCAAATGATGAGTAATGTATTATTCTAATATAATGTAATAGCCAGTCCGAAGCCTGTAAAAAGTACGAAGAAATGGTCATTTCAGTTCAATAAACATAAAAGTAAACTTCAACTTAATCTTCTGAGGATTAAACTGGACAAGATTTAGTCGCCCCCAATCCGAGACTTTCTTCAGCAAAGACTCGACTTCAGACACAAGTTTGTTCAGGTACTCGACAAAGTTTTCCCGAGAAAAATTTGCACTAACTACGAAATACTAAGAAATACTTACTTAATTATTCATTTATTTTGCTTTTGTATCTTATCAAATAATTCAATTGTGTGCCTTGTGCCTTGCACATGCCTTTTGTTGCGATGGCTTTCTATTGTGCCCTTTTTTCCTAAATGTCAACAGTTTTATTTTTATTTAAAAAATTTATATCTGTGTATTTATTTTTATGTCGGAACTTGTGATTAATTAAGTTTATTTTATTCCGTCTATGTTTCTGGAGTTTATTGAAAATTAGTAGCTATAGTTACCAGTAGGTGGCCTTTTTAGTTCCATTTCATTAAATTGTTCTGTTATGTTAATTTGTGTATGTTTGGGACTAAATAAGTTATATATTATTATTGTTACTATAATCACAAATTATAATGACAAATACACACATTTAAAACAACATTTCTTGCCATATTAATCCTATACTTTTAAGTGAGCAATTTTTGTATATAATGTCTATTTTTGCAGTGCAGTAAATGTTCCGGACTGAAGGGCTTAGAGAGTTGGTATATTTAAAGGCTGCAAGGCATTCTATCTTAGTCCCCAGGATCTGTTTTTAAAACATTAACATTATTTTAATGTTTATAAATATGTGTTTAAGAAGAAATTATATTATGTGAAATTAAATGAATATATTATGTGAAATTATAAGTATTTTTTGTTGAATATAGATTTTTTTTTAATAGGATAGGGAGACAAAAGAGCACACAGTTTACCTGATGGTAAGTGGTTGCTGTGGCTCAAAGACATCTACATCTGTCCTTGATTATGAATTAAAATGCAGATGCGTTGTCACCCATGAGGACTAAGAAGGAATGCCTCATTTCCAGTAAAAAAGGTCTCCGGTTCTCTACACTCAGCATACGAAACACAGTAGCATTAAGCTGCTATTTTACGCTGGTATTCTGTGAGAGTGTGGTCCTTCCCCGGTCGAGCCAACCTATTCCTGCTAGAACTATATAACTGCAGCATGGCTCTACTATTATTGTTACTATTATATTTCTCTGTATATTTTTGGAGTAACAATTATGTGTGCAGTAGACTTGAGATATTGTCATGCTACACAATTATGAAACTTGTATACAGGTGTTGCTCTAATAAAATTTGCAGACTGTACACTATCTTCAGGACACTGAATGTAAAAATCAATCTGAACAGTCTATACAGAAGTTCCTAGAAGCAATGAAAAAATTCAAGTTAACAAAAATGGAGAAATTGATGATGGTGAATACTCCTCCAAGAACAGAATTAGAAATACAATTGGTGAGTTTATGTTTATTTTAAGTAATATTATGATATTACATCTATGATTGTGTAGTGGCGGTGTATGAATATCTACTACCCCATATTGTCATGTGAATTTTGTAACAGAAGAAAACAAACCAGGAGATGGGCAGCAGTCCTATTCCTTATAACAACTAAAAATAAAAAAACTATCGTGGCCAACCAGCCTGCCAAATGTTGCAACTAAGGCACCTTATGAAGCAACCTATGGCGGAGGTCTTTATTTTTTTTTTTTTCAAAATAGATTATGGGTGATAGATGAGCAAACAGTGCATCTGATAGTGAGTGGATAAGTGTGGCCCATAGACATTCACATTTACCCTCAATTAATAAATAAAATGGAGATGCGTTGTCACAGTAAAAAGGGTCTCCGGTTCGCTGCATTTAGACGAAACACAACAGCATTAAGCTGCTATTATACGCTGGTACACGTCTTTGTTCATTTTATGAAAAATATAATATTTTGCACGTGAACCAACATGGCTTTAGGAAAAACCACTCCACTACCTTAGCAATTTATAAATATGTAAAAAGCATCCTAGACAAAATCGACGATAAAAAAATCGCAGTAGGCCTCTTGCTCGATATGAGTAAAGCCTATGACAGAGTCTGTTATAGAACTCTATTGGAAAAACTGTATCAAACAGGAATTAGGGGAATAGCTCATAATTGGTTCAAATCCTATCTTGATAACCGCTTCCAATATGTAGAAATTGAAAATACCAACTTCGAGACAGGCAAAATTACTCATGTCAGATCGGATGCAACTCTCATTTCTGGCTCTATCCCTCAAGGTAGCGTTTTGGGTTGTATTTTGTTTCTTATTTACATAAATGATCTCCCAAACATACTGGACGATCTATGCGTGCTCTTTGCAGATGACATCTCCATATTAATCTCTTGCACTAATTCCACAGATTTAACTACAAAATTGAACTATACATTAGATAAAATTACTGGCTGGCTACAATTACATAATTTACAACTTAACCTTAATAAAACTAAAATTATTCAATTTAAACCCTACCAAAAAACTGGTTTACAAATATCGTTTAACTATAAAAATACAAAACTAGAAACTGTTAACTCTGGCACTTTGTTAGGAATAGACCTGGACACACATTTGAGTTGGAAACAGCACGTACAAAAAGTTGCAAAAAAAATATCCTCATTTATTTATGCACTGCAACACCTTAAACGTGCGACAGATTTTAAGACTGCCCTTGCGGCTTACTATGCACATGCTCACTCCGTACTCTCCTATGGCATCATCTTGTGGGGAAACTCTTGTGATATAAACAAATTATTTATATTACAAAAGAAGTGTCTACGAATATTGATAAATTTGGACAAAATGGAGTCATGTAAACCCCACTTCATTAAAAATAAGATTTTGACACTTACATCTATCTACATCCTCGAATCTTGTACATTTGTTAGGAAGCACCCAAAACTCTACTCACCTATTAAAAAGACTAAAAGAAATAATAGAAATTTATATAAGCTTAAGATACCCTTCTCCAAATTAAAATTAGTTTCAAACAGCCCTCACGTTATGTCAATAAAGATTTATAACCATTTACCAAATTCCATAAAAATCCTGGAAAATCCTGTGCAATTTAATAAACAATTAAAAATATTTCTTATTAATAAATGTTACTATAATTTAAATGAATTTTTTGACGATAAATAACGATAAAGTAAGAATACTTAGACTATTCATTGTGTTTCAAATTAAATTAATTTATATAAAATAATATTGAATGTTGATGATATGATAATTTGTAATTTATGTTTAAAAATTAGATAATACGAAAATAGTTAGCCCTCTAGTGTTGCTATGCCCTTGCGGGGCGTCACATGTATACCGATCAAAATTGTACCATCGTAAATTTGTAATGTGACATGCAATAAACAATTTGAATTTGAATTTGAATTTGAATTTGGTATTCAGTATGTCCTCTTTTTAACCGATTTCAAAAAGGAAGAGGTACTCAATTGAACTGGGTTTTTTTGTAATGTGTCAGAACTTTTTTCTAGGTGAACCGATTTTGATGATTCTTTTTTTATTTGTAAGCTGGTGCTTCTCCTGTGGTTATCAATCAATTCTGAGTTATCCTTAAATAATAATAATGCATATTTAATTGAATTTGAATACATTAATAATGTTCTCATTTTATTTATATTGAAGTCGGTTGTACATAATTTTTAATTTTACCACTTGTATATTCATATAAAAATTAGAAAGTACGGTTAAAAATATATACTTAGTATTAAGTAGCTTTGCTTTATTATGCCCTGCAGTGGGCGATAAAGAGCTGATGATGAAGTAGTTTTGCACCTTTAAAGTATTAGCTCCAATAGGATCCCAATTTTATTATAGCCTAGCGGCCCTTGGTGACATAGCTATGCCAATGTTACATATAAAGAAACATAAATGCTTAATTTTTCTATTCCAGATTGTCCAAGAAAGTGAAGAAAGGCTTTCAGAGGAAGATGTTAGAAGCATCATAGGCATAGTCAATGAAATCTTTCCAGCCATTGTTACGTGATATTACAACGGCTTTTATTGTTTATTTAATAATTTCATAATGTATCTATATAAATAAAAATGTAAATGTTTGTTTGTTCAAAATCTTAGAACTTTTTTTGATATGAGAGGGGGCAAACGAGCATGCGGCTCACCTGGTGTAAGTGACTAACGCCGCCCATGATCAACTGTATGAATTATTATTAATATTATATATTAATATTATTAGTATTATATTATTAATATTATATTATTAATTGTGGTATTAGCAGTGTGTTCTCATCTGGTTGGGCTGAATAAATATATAAAAGGAAATGATAAATATATATAAATATATATTTTATATACCAGCACAAATAAATAAATAATAAATAAATAAAAGCCCAACCAGATGGAGGCCCTCGGCAGGGGAGATCAAACGGCCGAGGGTTAGGGGGAAAGGGAGAGAAACAGGCGGACGATACGGGCGGTATCGAGGAGCACCGCCTTCTGCATTTGAGCCTGGAGCGGTCCGTCACGGAGTACCAGCTTCATACAGTTGTATGAATTAGCAGCAGCTTCCGACGTGAGCATCGAAACAATATTGGTCCTTTTGTAAATGGTTATCCCAAGAACTCAATGATCGCTAGGGTAACAAACAAAGGAAATTTGAACCGCATTGTTACCTGCGACGAAGAACGGGTTCTGTGTGACAATCGCAAGTGCTAAGTAAGTTGATTGGATCCTGGTTCAACATCTTAACAAGCCTTAAATTAAAAAGGAAAAGTTTGGTCACTGTTTAGTGGCCGTGATTCATCGCAGCTTTTTACCAAACGGAATGAGCATTACTGCAAAGGTGAACTGTGAGGAACTGAACACAACGATGAAGAAGCTCACACGTCTCCAACCAGCTTTGGTCATTTGCTCGTCTCCGCTGCTCCTGGACGACAACGCGCGACCTCATACTGCACAACAGACTGTCTCCAAGTTACAAGAGATGTGGTTGGAAGCTATCCATCATACACCGTACTCACCAGACCTTAGCGCCAGACCCAGCGCCTACTGTCTTCTACGTTTTCCAGAATTTGGATAAATTTTTGTCGGGAAAAAAATTAATTGCTCGAGAGGCAGTACAAAATGTCTTTGAAGAATTTCCCGTCTCCCGTACAGTTAATTTCTTCAAGAAGTCCATCAAACTGCCACTGCGTTAGCAAAAATCCATCAATTGCATGGGTGATTACTTTGATTAATAGAAATAAAAAATATAGAAAAAAATTACGTTATTTCGTAAAAAACGGCAATTTCATTGTTAAAGATTTATTATTATATTTTTATATACCTTATTATTTTCAATTTTTTTAATTATAAATTTAACAAAATGGGAACAAGTAATAAAAATAATTAACAATTAGTTATTAGTACTAATATATTATTAGTATTATTAATATTATATATTAATATTATTAGTATTATATTATTAATTTGTGGTATTAGTAGTGTGTTCTCATCTGGTTGGGCTGAATAAATATATAAAAGGAAATGATAAATATATATTTTATATACCAGCACAAATAAATAAATAATAAATAAATAAAAGCCCAACCAGATGGAGGCCCTCGGCAGGGGAGATCAAACGGCCGAGGGTTAGGGGGAAAGGGAGAGAAACAGGCGGACGATACGGGCGGTATCGAGGAGCACCGCCTTCTGCATTTGAGACTGGAGCGGTCCGTCACGGAGTACCAGCTTCCTCAGATGACCCGAGAGGCTGACTGGGATTAGCCTGTTTGCAGAAACGACTAAAGGAATAATTTCAGTCGGCAGACCACCCCACATGTCGGTTAACTCGTGAGCCAGGTCCAGATATTTTGTTCGTTTATCTGTTTCGGCTTTCATGAGGTTCTCGTCATACGGAATGGTAATGTCGACCAAAAATATCCTTGATTGTGCCCAGTCCATCAGCACAATATCAGGCTTATTCGCAAGAATAGTCCTGTCTGTGATGATGGCCCAGTCCCAGTAGAGCCTGGCGCGATCATTTTCGAGCACGACTTCCGGCAAGTACTTGTAATACGACAATTTCCGGTCCACGAGACCGTATTTCAGAGCGAGCTCCTGGTGAAGAATTCTGGCTACTAGGTTGTGACTGTGCAACTACTCAGAGTTAGAAAGCGCCGAACAACCGAAGATGACATGCCAAAGTAATTCGCCGGGATTGCGACAAGCTCGACAGATGTCGACGGTGCCATCCTTTAGGATGTATCTCCGATAGTTGTTGGTGTTAATAACCTGATCCTGTATTGCACAGACAAAACCCTCGGTTTCCCCCGAAGAGGTCACCAAAGCGTAGCCAGTGGAGGGAGGCTACTGTGTCTACGAAAGGCTCATGTAGAGCGTTGTAGAACCTCCCGTGGAGCTCCTTCTCCTTCCATACGGTCTCCCGGTCGGAAATTCTCTGCACTGCCGGGTCTTGCCATTGCTTGTTGGCTAAGGATAGAGGGGTAAGTCCTTTATCACAACAAATGACGTCCTTATAGAATGGATCATCCGATCTCACCAGGAAGTAATTACGGAGGCTGCACACTTCGCGATTATGCATGGTGAGCGCGCTCAAAAAGCCACGCCCACCATGTGTTCGCGGCAAGTACAGGCTCATTACCGACGATCTCGGATGATGCATCCTATGGGACGTCATAGTAGTGTGGACTTTTCTATCCAGGGCGTTAAGTTCAGTCCGAGTCCACCTGAGTATGCCAAAGGTATACATGAGGACAGGCATGACCCAACCGTTATATGCGTGTGTCTTATTCACACCGGACAAAAGGCTGTTGAGCACTTAGGTCAAGCGTGCATAAAACACGTCGCAAACTGACTGTTTCATACTAGCCTCATCGATACCGATGTTCTGTGATATACCCAGGTATCGGTATGTTTCAGCCTCGGAAAGGGTCCTTAAACTGATGGGCATAGATAAGTCTATGCTCTCAGATTTAGCAACCCTTCCCCTTTCAACATGGAGGACCGCACATTTATCCGTCCCCAGCTCCATTCCAATAGAATCGCTAAATTCACAAGTGATGTTTAGCAATTCCACAAGATGGTAGCGACTGGAGGCGAATAACTTGAGGTCATCCATATAAAAAAAGGTGGGTCACTTTTGTACCTCCTTTACGAAGCTGAAAACCCCTCCCGGAGCCCTCCAGTAAAGTAGTGAGAGGGTTCAAAGAGAGGCAGAACCAGATTGGACTCAGACAATCTCCCTGGAAGATACCCCTTCTTATCCTTATGTGGCTTTCCGCAGTCATCATCCGTTCGCCCTGATGACAAAGGATTGTACTCCACTGCCCCATACACTGCTCGAGGAAGTCTCTAACTGTACAGTCCATCTTGTACAGCTCGAGGACTCTCTGTAGCCATGTATGGGGCACCGAGTCGGATGCCTTTCTGTATTCTATCCAGGCGGCGGAGAAGTTCCGATGGTTGCGTTTCACCACTTTGCCAATGACCGCGTCAATGAGAAGTGGTTCCTTGGTTCCACGACCACCGCCCCGACATCCGTTTTGAGCGCGCGACATCACCTGATTTGAGTCCAGATGACGAGTGATTCTCGCGCTCAAATTGGATGTTAGTGTCTTGTGGTCGGTAGACACGCGATGGGGCGGTATTTGCTCGGGTCTGTGGTATCCTGGTCTTTAGGAACTAAATGAGTGATCCCAGTAGTGAAGAGGCTCGAAGAAAACTGAGTTTTATAGATTTGTCAGAGATGCAGCCATTAAAAGGAAACAGAAAAATTGATTCGTCAGCTAATTTAAATCTTTTGAAACGCAGCGTATAGGAAAGCATGAAAATAGCCTGTTTATTCCAAATGGAAATTGGATATTTTTTTTAATTAAAGGAAACTGAGCATAATTATCCGCAGGGATGCAGACTTTTGAAAAGAAACTGAGCTAAATTGATTCGTCAGAGATGCAGTTTTCTGAATTGAAAGGAAACTGAGCCAAATAAAATATCCGTCAGAGATGCAGCCTTTTGAGTTGAAAGGGAACCGAGCTTAATAGGTCCGTCAGAGGTGCAGCATTTGGAATTGAAAAGAAACTGAGCTAAATAGGAAATTTTGAATTGAAAGGGAAGATCTGTGGGAATTCTGATTAATTGATTGTGGGAATTTTGGGAAAAAAAAAACTAACTGAACACTATTTTAATACGCTACTGTACACAATGTTATATGTTTTCCTTTCGGGGAAAGAATGCGGAGATTCTGGGCATTTGACACACGCGAACATGCTACATACTTCAGCTGACCATGAGAGAAGCACGGTTTTTCTAAGTTGACCCCCGCGGTACCTGTAACGTTTGCCCTTGCGCTTTATTAATTGTCATTGCAAAACTGAGATTAATAAGGAACTGCAACCTTTTGAATTGAAAAGGAAGATCTGTAGGAATTATAGGGATCCGTGGTATAATAACATTTTCACCTTTTCCTACGCCTGTCAAAATTGTAGCACCGATTATGTTCCGTCCAAGATGTGTCACACGCAGCCTTGTCCCGTTACATAACCGAGGAGCATCTAAATTTCGCATTAGCATGACTGGGACGCCTAATTTTAATTGAAGCTTATGTGAGGGCACACCTAACAACACTAGAGAATTTAGAAACTCTGCGGGATATGAAGTGCTCTGTTCTGTGTCCATAAGTGTGTCTACTGACAAATACTCTGTTATTTCTCCTGCTACTTTGCTTAATATATCTGAATTTATTTTGTTAACGCTCTCATTTTTTGGTGCAAGAATCGCCCTTACATAACCATTTGTCTTCATGCATGTTGTTCGTTAAATCTGAATAAACGCTCGCAATTAATTCAGAATGACTCTATATTAAATTACAAAAATCTCTCGTCAATTTAAGTAGCCCTCTGCATTCGTTTCCAACCGCCCATCGCCAATTTTTAATAGTGTGTCAGCATAGTTTCCAGCATTGATATCATTATACAAATGCACTCTCATATTCGTAGTTAAACTGAATTTCGTCACCTTGTTTCATAAAAT